ACGTATATGTATTTGGTTGCAATAATTCTTTTATTCCTCCAGATACTTGTAAAAGACTATAAATTATTTTTGCTTGCCTACAAGTACTTTGTAAACCTCCTTTATTTAGACTAGTCTTGTCATAATAATGTTGCCAAATTTAAAAATTGGCAGAGCATATAAGCAAGAATTAGATATAATGGAAACAGGATTGCTTAAAGGCAGTGATAAAGAAAATAAGAAAGTAATTGTTACCGGGTAATAGCTGATGTGCTTGGCCTATACTAACGTATATATATATAAGAATTAATGCTTGCAGGCAACAAGGATATGTTGATAAACACTGGCAGATAATAATTATAAGTGCAATTGCAAAATGCAAATAGGTAGCCTCATCTACTTCTGCTTCATTGACTACGCAAAAGCCTTTGACTGTGTGGATGACAGCAAACTATGGCAAGTCCTTAAAGAAATGGGAGTGCCTGGCCACCTTATCCATCTCCTGAGAAATCAATACGTGGGACAGGAAGCAACAGTTAGAACTGGATATGGAACAAATGATTGGTTCAAAATTGGGAAAGGAGTACGACAAGGCTGTATATTGCCTCCCTGCTTATTTAACTTATACGCGGAATACACCATGCAAACAGCAGGACTCTGATGGCAGAAAATGAGGAGGAATTAAAGAACCTCATAATGAGGTTGAAAGAGGAGAGTCCGAAAAATGGTCTGAAGCTCAACATCAAAAAAAACTAAGATCATGGCCACATCCCATCACTTCCAGACAAATAGAAGGGGAAGATATGGAGGCAGTAACAGATTTTACTTTCTTGGGCTCCCTGATCACTGCAGATGGTGACAGCAGCCACGAAATTAAAAGATGCCTGCTTCTTGGGAGGAAAGCAATGACAAACCTCAACAGCATCTTAAAAAGCAAAGACATCACCTTGCCGACAAAAGTCCACATAATCAAAGCTATGGTTTTTCCAGTAGTGATGTATGGAAGTGAGAGTTGGACCATAGAGAAGGCTGACCACTGAAGAATTGATGCTTTTGAATTGTGGTGCTGGAGGAGACTCTTGGAGAACAAACCTATCCATTCTAAAGGAAATCAACCCTGAGTGCTCACTGGAAGGACAGATCCTGAAGCTGAAGCTCCAATCCTTTGGCCATCTCATAAGAAGAGAAGACTCCCCCGAAAAGACCCTGATGTTGGGAAAGAGTGAAGGCAAGAGGAGAAGGGGACGAGAGAGGACGAGATGGTTGGACAGTGTCACCGAAGCAACCAACATGAATCTGACCCAACTCCGGGAGGCAGTGGAAAATAGGAGTGCCTGGCATGCTCTGGTCCATGGGGGTCACGAAGAGTTGGACATGACTTAACAACTAAACAACAACAACAGCCTCATTTATTGAATGAGGAAAATGGGATAAACAGAAGTTCATTCGGAGAGAGAGAAGGGGAAGAAGAGCAAAGGAATCCTGGAGGCTTATTTTTTACTGCCTGGCAAATATATTCCAGCTTGGGTAAGGGAAAACAATATTATAACTTATTATGTTTGTGTTTCACTTATTATCAGCTTATGGTTCTGAAGTAAGAACCACCCTTTCTTCCAAGAAAGGGGCATGGCAGCATACAAGAACTAAAGAATACATATTTTTAAACCACAGACATTAACATTAAAATATGACTAAACTAAAAAGGTATTAAGAACACCGTTAGATAAAGCACAATTAAAATACCCAGTTAAAAATCTGCTTTTAAAATGTTGTGTCCCTCCACTACGAAATATTAAGTTGGGAACAGATCAACCGACTTCACTACCCATTAAGAGTCTGCTTTGTGTAGGACCTGAAGAAGAGGAGAGGTCTTGGCACTCCACTCGTCCATTGTCCCCAAGATGACCCTGTGGATGACTGCTGACCGCTTTTGGGATCCGGCCTGTCAGCCAGCTTCAAATCAACCACAGGGTAGCATCATCTCCCTGCTTGGCCACTAGAACAGGATGAGGATCCTTGTCAAAAGACTTGCTGAGATCAAGATATACGACATCTAAAGCATTCTCTTCATCTGTCTTGTGAGTCTACCAAAAAGGGAGATTTAATTAGTCTGGCATGAGTTGCCTTCACCCTTTTTTGAAAGCACAACTTAACATGGTAGGAGTTTTTCCGTGCGTCAGGGCAGCTGAAAGCAAAGAATCAATCTATCTATCTATCTATCTATCTATCTATCTATCTATCTATCTATCTATCTATCTATCTATCTATCTATCTATCTATCTATCTATCTATCTATCTAATCTATCACCAGTTCCTTCCTTCCTTCCTTCCTTCCTTCCTTCCTTCCTTCCTTCCTTCCTTCCATCTCTCTCTCTCTCTCTCTCTAGTTAGTTACCTAATTAGCCAGCTAGTTATTTCTACCCTGTCTTTCTCCTTAAAAAGGACCAAAGGTGGCTCATATCATGAAAATATTATATAAAGCTGAAAACAGTAAGTATGCAAATACTACAAGACAGTAAACAGAAAGATCCAAAACACATTCAAAACCAGTAAGGCACAGCAATCCATTAATTTTTTTTAAAAAAATCAACTTGGGCAGCTAGTCACTGAGGGAAAGCTTGCTTGAAGAGAAAGGTCTTTGCCGGCCTGCAGAAAGGCCACCAAGATGGTTTCTGCCTGGCCTGCAGTTCTGGATTCCTAGCAGGGTTACCCAAAGGAGGATGGTCACAGATGAGACACCAGACCGACACGCAGCCCACCCTCCTCAGGCGTGAACAATCAAATCAGTGGGAAAGGCTTGGTTGTTCGAGGGGTGATGGGGACAAAGAAACCCCTGGAGGAAAGCTGCCGGGAAGCAGCAGAAGTGGAAGGTGACACTGATGTAGGCTATTCCACGGGCAATGGCAATGAGACTCGAGCTAATTTTTGTCAGTACTGCAGGGAAGGAGGAAATGGTAACCCACTGTTGAAGGCTTCTTAATTTGAAAACCTAATAGTGCTAAAGAGGAGGCACTTAATCAGCTACTGGTAAGGAGCAAAGGATGTATACAAATACTGCTATCGCTAATGATGCAGTAAGATGAAAGCCCAAATGACATCTGGTGGCTAAAGTGCAGAGAGGGGAAAGTATTCCCTGCATTCCCTCATCCAAGTCATTCATAAAAAGGTCAAAGAGTGGAGGGCCCAAGACTGAGCCCTGGAGTATCCTAGTTCTCTCTCTCTCCCCCCAGCTCCCCAGTTTGAAAAGGAGTCATTAATCATCACCCTCTCTGAATACGATGGTGTGTAACCAACTGTGTATCCATCCATCCATCCATCCATCCATCCATCCATCCATCCATCCATCCATCCATCCATCCATCCATCCATCCATCCATCCATCCGACACCTGTTCTGTCCAGCCCTCCCCGAGTTAGCCTGCTAGTCAGAACATGGTGGGGCACTTGGTCAAAGGCTTGGCTTTCCGCCCGGGGTGTTCGAGGTGCTTGCAGAGGTCTGCAGCATTCCCATCATCTACCCTATTAAAAAAGAAAGAAAGAACCCCCCCCCCCCAAGATAAAATCGATGTCGGCTCCTGGTGGTTCCTGCCTGGTGTGTTCGAGGTGCTTGCAGAGTGGCCGCTTTGCAACCTGCTTCAGAATTTTCCCCGGGATTCCCAAGAGCCAGAGACGGTGTAGGTGGCGGTGGGGGGGGGTCTTTGTTCTCGAGCCCCATCAAATCACCTGTGACTTAAGGTGACCCTTTGAAAAAGCCGCCTCCGAGAGCGACCGCCCCGCCCGTCGTCCTCAAGGGTCCCGCTCCTCGCCTAGACTAGAGCCTGCCTCCTTCGCGGAGTCCGTTCCCTTGGTCTTTGCTCTCCCTCCGGTTCTGCTCTCTTCCGCGACGGCC